ACACTATATCACAATAAAGGGGACAGTCCAACAAGAGGATAACAATTATAGGGGTACCTGGTTGGTTCAGTCAGGGGAGCAAGCAAGTCTTGATCTCAGGGTTGTAAATTTGAGCTCCACATTGGGTGTAGAGGTTACTTAAAAAATAAAATCTTTAAAAAAAGAGGATATAACAATTGTAAATATTTATGCACTCAATATAGGAACACCCAAATACATAAAGCAGTTGATAACAAACATAAAGGAACTAATCAATAGAAACATAATACTAGTAGGGGACTTTAACACCCTACTTACATTGATGGACAGATGATCCAAACAGAAAATCATCAAGGAAACAGTGGCTTTGGATGACACACTGGACCAGATGGATTTAACAGATATATTCAGAACATGCCATCCTAAAACAGTAGAATACACATTCTTTTCAAGTGCACATGGAACATTCTCCAGAATAGATCACATATTAGGCCACAGAACAAGTCTCAACAGATTTTTAAAAATCAAAGTCTTACCATGCATCTTTTCTGACCACAACACTATGAAACTAGAATCAACCACAAGAAAAAAATCTGGAAAGAGCACAAATACATGAAAGTTAAATAACATGCTACTTAAAAAAATAAATAAATAACATGCCACTATACAATGAATGGGTCAACCAAGGAATCAAAGAAGAAATGAAAAATTACATGGAGACAAATGAAAATGAAAACACAATGGTCTAAAATCTTTGGGATGCAGCAAAAGTGGTTCTAAGAGGAAAGTTTATAACAAAACAGGTCTACCTCCAGAAGAAAGAAAAATCTCAAACAACCTAAACTTACACCTAAAGGGGATAGAAAAGAACAAATAAAACCCAAACTCAGCAAGTGGGAGAAAATAATAAAGATTAGAGCAGAAATAAATGACATAGAAACTAAAAAAAACAGATCAATGAAACCAGGTTCTAGTTCTTTGAAAAGATTAAAACAAAATTGACAAACTTCTAGCCAGACTCATCAAAAAAAAAAAAAAAAAGGACCCAAATAAACAAAATCACTAATGAAAAAGGAAAAATAACAATCAACACCACAGAAATACAAACAATTGTAACAGAATATTATGAAAACTTGGGGTGCCTGGGTGGCTCCATCAGTTAAGCACCTGACTCTTGATTTCGGCTCAGGTCATGATCTCAGAGTTGTGAGATTGAGACCTGTGTCAGGCTCCACGCTGGGCCTGGAGCCTGCCTAAGATTCTCTCTCTCCCTCTACCCCTGCCCTCTGTTCGCTCATTCTCTTTCTCTCTCTCAAAAAAAAAAAAAAAAAATCCTGAAAACCTATAAGCCAACAAACTGGACAACTTAGAAGAAATGGATAAATTCCTAGAAACATATAACCTACCAAAACTAAAGCAGGAAGAAATAGAAAATTTGAACAGACCAATTACCAGCAATGAAATTGAATCAGTGATCAAAAACCTCCCAACAAAGAGAAGTCCAGGACCAGATGGCTTCACACGTGAATTCTACCAAACATTTAAAGAAGAGTTAAAGCCTATCCTTCTCAAACTATTCCAAAAAAAAGAAGAGGAAGGGAAACTTCCAAATTTATTCTATGAGGCCAATATCACCCTCATATCAAAACCAGGTAAGAACACCACAAAAAGGGGTGCCCAGGTGGCTCAGTCAGTTAAGCAGCTGCCTTCAGCTCAGGTCATGATCTCAGGGTCATGGGATTGAGCCCCGCATCATGCTCCCTGCTCAGTGGGGAGTCCGCTTCTTCCTCTTCCTCTGCCTCTGCCCCCCACTCATGCTCTCTCTTCCTCTCTCAAATAAATAAATAAAATCTTAAAAAAAAAAAAGAACACAAAAAAGAGAACTACAGGTCAGTATCTCTCATGAATATAGATGCAAAAATCCTCAACACAATAGTAGCAAACCAAATCCAATAATACATTTAAAAAAATCATACACCATAATCAAGTGGGATTTATTCCTGGGATGCAAGTGTGGTTCACTATTCACAAAACAGTCAACATGATATGTCACATCAATAAGAGAAAGTATAAAAGCCATATAATTTCAATAGATGCAGAAAAAACATTGGACAAAGTATAACATCCATTCATGATAAAAAACTTACTGTAATGTAGAGGGAACATACCTCAACATAATAAAGACCTTATATGAAAAACCCACAGCCAACATCATACTCAATGGTGAAAGCTGAGAACTTTTTCCCTAAGGTCAGGAACAAGACAAGCATGTCCATTATTAGCATTTGTTATTTAACATAGTACTGGAAGTCCTAACCACAGCAATTAGACAACATAAAGGCATCCACATTGGTAAGGAGGAAGTAAAACTCTCACTATTTGCAAATGACATGATACTGTATATACAAAACTGCTAGAATTGATAAATGAATTCAGTAAAGTCACAGGATACAAAATCAATGTACAGAAATCTTTTGCATTCCTATACACTAATAATGAAGCAGCAGAAAGAGAAATTAAGAAAACAGTCCCATTTACAATTGCACCAAAAACAATAAAATATCTAGGAATAAACTTAACTAAACAAGTGAAAGACCTGTACTCTGAAAACTATAAAACACTGATGAAAGAAATTCAAGACAATTCAAAGAAATGGGAAGACATTCCATGCTCATGGGTTGGAAGAATAAAGATTGTTAAAATGTCTATACTACTCAAAGCAATCTACATATTTAATGTAATCCCTATCAAAATACAACAGCATTTTTCACATAACTAGAACAAACAGTCCTAAAATTTGTATGGAACCACAAAAGGCCTCAACTAGCCAAAGCAATCTTGAAAAACAGAACTGGAGGTATCACAATTCCAGATTTTGAGTTATATTACAAAGCAGTAATAATTTAAACAGTATGATACTGGCATAAAAATAGACACATAGATCAGTGGAATAGAACAGAAATCCAAAAACAAATCCACAGTGTATGGTCAATCTTCAACAAAGGAGGAATGAATATCCAATGGGAAAAAGGCTTTTCAGCAAATGGTGTTGGGAAAACTAGACAACCACATGCAAAGTAATGAAACTGGACCACTTTCTTACACCATACACAAAAATAAACTCAAAGTGGATTAAAAGGCCTAAATGTGAGACCTGACATCATAAAAATCCTTGAAGAGAGCACAGGCAATAATAACTCTGACATTGGCCATAACAACATTTTTCTAGGTATGTCTCCTGAGGCAAAAGAAATAAAAGCAAAAATAAACTGTTGGGACTACATAAAGAAAAAAAAAGTTTCTGCACAGGAAAGAAAACAACGAAATTAAAAGGCAACCTATGAAATAAGAGAAGATATTTCTAAATGACATAAAGCATTAGTATCCAAAATATATAAAGAACTGGTACAACTCAATACCCAAAAAACAAATAATCCAATTAAAAAATGGGCAGAAGACATGAACAGATATTTCTCCGAAGAAGACATCCACATGGCAACAGACACATGAAAAGATGCTCAACATCACTCATCATCAGGGAAATGCAAATCAAAACTCCAGTGTGATATCACCTCACACCTGTCTGAATGGTGAAAATTGAAACACAAGAAACGTCAAGTATTGGTGAAGATATGGAGAAAAAGGAACCCTCTTGCACTGTTGGTGGGGATGCAATTGGTACAACCATTGTGGAAAACAGTGTGTAGGTTCCTCAAAAAATTAAAAATAGAACTACCCTACAACCCAGTAGTTGCATTATCAAGTATTTAGCCAAAAAGTACAAAAACACTAAATCAAAAAGATACATGCATCCGTATGTTTGTTACAGCATTATTTACAATAGCCAAACTATGGAAGCAGCGCTGGTATCCACTGATAGATGAATGAATACAGAAGAAGTGGTAAATATATACAATGGGATATTACTCAGCTATAAAAAAGAATGAAATCTTGCCATTTGCAACCACATATATAGAGCTAGAGAATATAACACTAAGCGGGTTAAGTCAGAGAAAAAAAATGCCATGTGATCTCACTCACATGTGGAATTTATGAACAAAAGAAATGAGCAAAGAAAAAAGAAAAATCAAGACACAGACTCTTAAATATAGAGAACAAATTGAGGGTTATCAGAGGGAATGTGGGAGGGATGGGGGAAATAGGGGATGGGGATTAAAGAGTACACTTATCATGATGGAAAAAAAACCACTTGTCAAGTAGAACAATGTTTTTTAAGTGTAAATTAGGGAGATTTTAGGGCTGTATTTGTTTTGTTCTACAGGTGTTAGCTTTTCAGTGAGCATGAATGATTGTGGAACACTTGAAAGCAGTATTTGCACAATCAGAATTTGCCTCTGCCTCTATTCCCCATCCCCCTGCTTCCATAAATTTGAACTTGCCTGCTTCCAGCCCACTTTTTCAGTATTCATTTCCTTGGCATTAAGAACCAGGGACATCATTCACTACCCCCCGACCCAGAAAGTCTCTGATAAATGCATTTCACTGAAACAGAAAGGATTGATGAGCTGATAACTTCTCCACCAGATATTCATTGGGTATTAGGTGCCAGGCATTGGCAAAGGGCAATTTTACATGTATTAACTAATTTAATCCTCAAAGCAATACCATGAAGTAGATTACTATGATGAACTTCTTTTTACAGATAAAGGGACCAAGGCTTAGGGCCACTTAATAGACCATCATTCCCTGGGGTATTTGCATCTGAACAGTGGACACAGAAGACTGCAGCCAAAAAGTGAATCTGCTCTTGAGAAATTCCAGGCATCATGTGGAGGTCATGGATGAAGTCTTTGATTTTTAAAAAGTGTTAGCCTTGTCTTTCCTGATTATTCAATCAAAGAGGAATATATATATTTCTTGGTCGTCTAGGAGGCTTGTGGGGTCTTCTAAAATATTGAGAGCTTTATTTGTATGTTTACAGATTTCTTTATACACTGTTGCAGTGAACTCATTTATTTACTGTGGGCTCTCAGCAAAGTAAAGCTCTTTTCCTTTTGTAGACATTTGCCTGAAAAAATTAAGGATGACCAACAGTTGAAGAATATGAGTGGCCAGTGGTTTTATGAAGCCAAGGCAAAAAGGCACAGAGACAGAATTCATGGTGCAGATATCATCAGAGCATCCATGAGAAAGAAGAAGCTCCAGGTAGCAGGTGAGTTGATTTGGCTAGGACATTTTGAGCCAGCATTTGTTTGGGAAGGCATTGTCAGGAGACCAGAAGGATGTTAGAATCATTACTGGAATCTGCTGAGGGAAGTAATTTAGAGGTGCGCTTTGCATAATGCATAGTCCTCCAGCTCAAAATCTTCTTGTCCTGGATTCAGATGGATGAAGGCAGGGCTAAAGGACTCAGGGTAATCTAGAAAAACATAGGAAGTCCTTTAGATACTGTGTTGAGTTACAGTAGTATAGACAGTTGGGGTTATGAGGCATTTACCCCCTTCATTCCTTTGGCTTTTAACTCTGAAGATTCAGAACCATTTCCTCTGAGTAGGGTGACAGGAAGAGATTAGCTTCCCTTTCAACAACTTTGACATCTGGTATGTCTTTAATCAACCAAGTATATCATTTAAGAGACTGTAAAGACAGTATTTTGAGGGCTTCTTTAGAATCCTGTTGGGTTTATTAAATATGTATGGTGTGCCTTCTCTTTCACTCTGAGCTAGGCAGTGTAAACTTTTACACCTGAGAACAGCCCCTGTCTAGATCTAGCCTGTGCCCAATAAGGAAAATAGCTGTCACCTTTTGAACATTTAATACATGATAGGCATTTGCTCTCTATTATTTCTAACTATAGCAGCGATCTTGTAAGGTAGGTGTTCTTATCCCTGTTCTACATATGGGACATGTAAAATTCAGAGAAGTGAAGTTACTTGTCCAAGGTTATATCATTGGCAAATGGCCGACCTGGGATTTCATTCTTTCTGACTCAGAGCCACACCCCTTGCAAATAAGGGGTAATGTTTAGTGTGTGCCCTGCATTGCTCGCATCCCTCTTGATTTTCAAAACCATCCAGGCCTTCAGAAATCTCGGGAGGTACGGATTAGTATTGTGGATTCCATTTTGCAATTGAAGAAACTAGCCTTCTGTGTAAAGAGACCTGTGGGGAATACCACCCTGGAATGTGAGTATTTGGAAATCGGAGCCCTCGTATTGCTTCATCTTAACATCGATGTATAAGCACTCCTAGCACTTACTGGCACTGGGGTCAAAAGCAAGTTTCCTGAACTTTTTGATCCTTGATTTCCAAATCTGTAAACTTGGAAAATAACACCTTCTCACAAGGTAATGCATGCAAAAAACAACACTGTGCCTGGCACTTAGCATAATTACTTAATGCTAATTATTTGAGAGGTGCTGGTAAAGAGCCCTGGGTATTCAGAGGCAAAAAGAAGTTACTTCCTGAAGAGGGAGCATGGAGGTTTTATGGGGGGGGCTTTGGCATCTGAGCTGGGTATTGAGGAGTATTGTAGAATTTGGATGTGTAAAGACTGGGGAAGGAAGAGGCAGTGGAGAGGAACATTCCAGGCCAGAAGCGTTTGTTCCCCTTTGGATTCCAGAGCCTCAAGTTAGGCACATTGTTGATGTTCAGTAAATGCTTGGAAATGATGGTGTCTCTGTCCCATGAAGACTAGCTGTCCTTGGGCGCCTGGGTGGCTCAGTTGGTTAAGCGACTGCCTTCAGCTCAGGTCATGATCCTGGAGTCCCGGGATCGAGTCTCGCATCGGGCTCCCTGCTCGGCGGGGAGTCTGCTTCTCCCTCTGACCCTCCTCCCTCTCCTGCTTTCTGTCTCTCATTCTCTCTCTCTCAAATAAATAAATAAAATCTTTAAAAAAAAAAAAAAAGACTAGCTGCCCTGACCATATGTATTTAGCCCTGACCTCAGTTCAGGTGAGATTCACCTAGAGGTGGTCAGAATTTTGCTGGAGTTTTCTCTGGAGTTACCTGCACATGTAAAGTCCACTCATACTCTCAGGAGATTCTGCTTGGGGGAAGGTAACATCAGATATAATTTTGCAGATATAATTCTGACCCTGGGGACTCAGACTCATGAGTGAGTGCCTTGGTGCTCCAGGAAGACCTGAAGTTCAGGTTTGAGCTTCGGTGATGCTAGGATGAGTCATAGGTCACGGAGGTGAGAGATGACTTCCTGTCTTCACTGTTTCCTCTTACAGCAGAGCAGAGTAAGGACAGAGCAAATGAGGCAAAGGCAAGTTGGGTGAATAACGTCAACAAAGATGCTTTCCTCCCCCCAGAACTAACTGGTGCTGTGGATGAGCCAGAAGATGTCGCCCCAGCAAGCCCAAGGTAAGACACAGCTCACAAGGACAGTCCCTACATGTGGGATTCATGGCTCGGTGTGCTATGAGCACAAACACCAGACTATTCTCACAGGCACTGTGAAGTACGTATGAGAGAATTCTGGGCCCTGATGTGGACAGAGCCTGAGCAGTACTCTTTCCCAGCTTCCAGAATTTCTAATAAATCTGAATGTTAAGTAAAATTAAAATGTTAAGTGGAGATTTCTTCCATCACCAACAATAGCTGGTTTTTATTTGTATTAATGATTTTACCTTAGAGTAGAATGAAGAGGTACTTCAAAATAAATATAGTCGCTTCAGAGAAGAGGTGAATTATGATCAAACTGTCATAACTTGGTGTGATGGAAGAAGCTCAAGCATGGGAACCAGACATGAATTCAAATCTTAAATATGCCATTTATTAGCCATTTGATGATAGCTTCTCTGAGTCTCTTTTCTTAACTATAGATAAGAATGATAATATATACCAGGAAAGGCCATAGTGAGAATTAGTGATAACATATGTAGAATACCTGACACATAGTAGGTGCTTAGTAAATAAGTCTTCAGGATGCAGGTTGTCCTCAATATTTCAGTCTTGATTTTGTTGGTATTTTCCATACCTGTTATCATCTCGCCAAAGTGTACATTTCTGTGTCTTTCCTAAGAAGTACCTGATTGTGGAGCTACATTGCCACAGATGTTTAGATGATTTTCTTTTAGGTATTTAAGGATCTTCCCATTGGTGTGCATCCCTTGGAAGTGTAGTTGTTACCCTTTGGTGGGAAGGCAGTTGCATTTTATCTGTAGCTCTTCAGTGAAGACAATTCAATTCAATTGAAGACAATTCTCCTATTGGAGAATAGGGCTGAAGTCAACAAATTTGCTGATGATACAGTCACCAAGCCAGGTGTCAAGTCTGAGGCACCTGGGAATCAGGGATGTTTCCAACACAGTTTACAGATGAGGGAGAGGGTCCATATAGGCATCCATAGGCATTTCAGAGCCAAATATGACTGAAGTTATATCACATGGATAGTGGAATACTGATTCTATTAAGGTACCCATTGTCTATTTCCCTGTTGGAGAGGACTCACTTTGTTTTCCATGGGTGGTAGCCTGGATTGTTTCCCCTCTGTGATGATTTGTAATGTTCTGTTATGTCTGTAGAGGCCATTTTGGCTAGAAAAGTAAGTAGTCACTAATTGATTTTGTGACCTTGCACTAGAAGTGACTTAACTTCTTGGGTCTTTGCTTCCTCAACTGTAAAATGGGATGATAAGGATTTGCCAGCAGGATTATTGAGAATTTAATTAGCTAGTAAATGTAGAATTCTTAACATGGTCCATAGCACATAGTAGGCATTCAGTGAATGGAAGTGTGGGCTCTCAAAAAGGGTGAGAGCCTACCCCTGCCACCTCCCCTGGGTGACTTCCCATTCACCAGCACACCCCCTAATGGGATAAAAGACATCCTTCCATAGGGAAAGATGAGACCTGAAGTATTAGAAACTCCAGGAGTGAGAACACAGTCATTTAGAATCACCACCAAGGAGCTGACAGCAGCTCCTAAGAGCCAGTTTGATAGGGGACAGGGACACCAGAACACTGCCTGACTAGGGGAGGTGGGTACAAGTCCCAACAGAAGGGGAAAGGAGATTTGGGGTGTCAGAAGCCATCTTAGTTCACTGCACAGTTTTGTCTGGGTCAGACTTCTTGTCTTTCTCCCAAGAACTCATTTCATTTCAAAGGGTTTGGGGGACAAAGGCACCACTGCCCTGCTAGCCCAGCTCATTTTCTTCATGACCTCAGGCAGGCTGGTGGGTGTATCTCCCCTCTTACTCAATTTGAGGTTGCTAATACAGCTTCAACAATTCATGTCTCCATTATTTCCTTCATTCGTTGTGTGACCTCAGATGAGTCTTTCTGGTCTCATCTATAAATCAGAGCAGAGCTGCCCCACCAGGATATTATGAGATTAAATGAAATGAGATGTGGGAACCATTTAGCATTTCACAGGAAGAAAGAAAATTGGCAATTTTCCAGTGGCTTTATAATTATGTTATTATAACATAGATGAGGTACAGTCGAGAAGGCAAGAATAAAAATGTTAGATGCATCTAGTCTGCTTTGCTCATTACGTGACCTGGGTGGTACTCATCCAGAACTGTGGAAGGGGCTGATGTATACTTCCTCCTTCCCATGTCAGAAACTACTGCTTGACTCAGTATCAGGTTCTTGTGGTGTTTCTCACTTATACTTTAACCTTTGGGAACTGGGTGTGTTAAGTGTATTTTGGGGCCTGTGCTTTTAGAGGAATTGAGCTTCAATAGAATGACTCAGTACCTGTCAATATTTTCTTAGGCAGGAGTCAGGTGTCCGGGAGTGTTGTGAGGCAACAGTGACTAGATATTGCAATTTCTGAAGAAGTTTTTCTTTCTTTTTTTTTTTTAATTTAAATTCAATTAGCCAATATATAGTACATCATTAGTTTCAGATGTAGTGTTCAATAATTCATCAGTTGCGTATAACACCCAGTACTCATTATATCACGTGCCCTCTTTAATGCCTATCACCCAGTTACCCCATCCCCCCACCAACCTCCCCTCCAGCAACCCCCAGTTTGTTCCCCATAGTTAAGAGTCTCTCATGGTTTTTCTCCCTCTCTGATGACTTTGCATTCAGTTTTTCCTCCCCTCCCTTTGTGATCTTCTGCACTGGAACTGGAGAGTATTATGCTAGGTGAAATAAGTCAATCGGAGAAAGAAAATTATCATATGGTTTCACTCATATGTGGAGTATATGAAGGAGTTTTTCTGATAGGCTCTGTGGCAAGATTCCTTCTTTCTATGGACACAATTCTGTTTGGTCCTGCCTGGGAAGAACTGAAATGCTATGGGTGCCCGGCATGAACTCAACCACCATCCTGTACCTGTGTTCTTTCACAACTCATCTTTGTTGGGATGCCTGAGTGGCTCAGTTGGTTAAGCATCTGCCTTTGGCTCAGGTCATGATCCCAGGGTCCTGCAATCGAGTCCCACATCGGGCTCCTTGCTCAGAGGGGAGCCTGCTTCTCCCTCTGCCTGCCACTCCCCCAGCTTGTGCACTCTCTCTCTTTGACAAATAAATAAAATCTTAAAAAAAAACAAAAACAACAACTCATCTTTGTTTGCACCTGTCATGTGAGGAAGCAAAGAGAGGTTTGACAAACAAAGGAGCAGAGAGTGAGGTTTTCTTTAGAGTAGCAAAGGGAAAACTCCAAATGCTCACAGTTCCAGTGCTGGTTGCTGAATTTTAACTGGGCAGTATTGGCACAAACTGTGGTAAAAGACTAATGTTTTGGTTTCCTAAACAGTGTGTATTTCTAGTCATCACAGATTGGTACCTTTTATAAAATATAACAAAGATGAAATATAGAAAACAACAAAGGCATGCAAAATATGAACCCTTGATCATGTGCTGGGATGTCTCAGCAAATTGCTATAAATGATTCTAAATGCATACTTTCAATTTCTGTATTTAGCTCACTGTGAACCAGTAACAAGCAATTCTCAGACTGGTGCTGGTCCATGAACCACACCTTGTAGCACATCATGTCCTTTCCATAATAATCCATCGGGCATGGCTGAGCCAAGGTGGGGAGTACACAATAAAGATGTGAGAAGCTTTTCCCACTGGGGTCAGGACCCTGCCCATAAAGGAGGTATGACATGTCTTGATTATAGAGGTGGACTTGCTCTGGGATGAGAAGACCTTCCTTTGTTACTTGAGAACACGTGTTCTGTGAAACATGGTTAGGTGCCCTGGGCAACACTGAGAGGTCTAGTAGCCTCCCTATTGACAGGGCCTTGGATGTCCCCACTGTTGGTGCTTCTTTGGTCTGAAGGAAACTGAAAGTGGACTGGCCTTGTAGTTTCTGTCTCTCTCTCTCTCTAACTTCTTCCCTGAAGACTGCCTCTCTGAGGACTGGTCCCTGTGGTAGCTTATATTGTTTTAGCTCTGTGATGTCACACGGGGCCAGTACTCTAAAAAGAGATAGTTTCTCAAGTGTGTTCCAAGCTTCCCAATTCTTTCCTCGTTCTGGTTCCTCTTCCCATGCCCTTCCCCCTCCCATATCCCTCAGTTGCCTGGTAGCCTCTCCTTTCTCCTTTAAGGGGATCCAACATGCATTCCACTTTAAGAAATACTTGACTTTTTAATAACTTAAGCCTGTATGGATGGAAATGTGGAGCTTCTTGTCTTTTCTCAATGGTCACCCCACTGAACATGAGTCTGAGCGTTTTTGTGGCATCCTAACACATAGCCCAAGTAGTTCTTAATATCTGGTGTGTAATACGGATGAGGGCATTTCAATGAAAGGAATCAGAGATCTGTCACATGCCTGTCTCCCACACCGTGCAGACTTTCTGATGGAAAGACTTCCAGTTCCTGATGTTTTCTGAAGATTAAAGAATTACCTTTCGAATACAAAAAGGTCAGAGCCTTCAACCAAGGGAAGCAAGGTGTTAGGTGCAGAGAGGACTATGCTAGGGGCAGTGGGCACCTCAGTGCCCTGGTATCACACCAAGGATGTGGTTGTTATACTCTGACTCTATACAGACCAGCCCTAGTGATAGATGTCATCAGTCAAAGGTCAGTGACTACTTTTGCTGGAGCAAAATTAGCAGGGCATGCTGTGAGCCAGCCTGGGCCACAGGCAGAAGAGTTCAGAAAGGCCAGAAGAAAGGCAGTTACAAGAGTGGAATGTGGAGAAAAATAAGAAAGGGAAATAGGTATGAATGGTTAGAACAGAACAATTAACCCATAGGTTGGGCGCCTGGGTGGCTCAGATGGTTAAGCATCTGCCTTCGGCTCAGGTCATGATCTCAGGGTCCTGGGATTGAGTCCCGCATCGGGCTCCCTGCTCCTTGGGAGCCTGCTTCTCCCTGTGCCTTTCTCTCTCGCTCTGTCTCTCATGAATAAAAAAAAAAAAAAAAATCTTAAAAAAAAAAAAATTAACCCATAGGTT